CTCCTTGTGAAGTACTTAAGCACATATTTTACTTAAAAGTAAGAGCCTCTGCGTGCTGCCGACATAATTAATCATCTTAAAGTAATTCTGGACAATGTGTACAAATTAAAATAATTATACGATGCCCATTATCATAATTGCATCATTTTAAGTAACCATTTGATTGTGGAACTACATTTTTTATTTTACCAGGTAAAGCCCATTGAGCTATTATTTCTTTGTCAGAAGAGACCTGACCACAAATGATAGCTCAAACAAGTGGCTTATCACGTGGAAAGTGATAGCAGCCAAATACTCTAAACGCATTTTTCTAACCATTTAGAGTATTTGGCTGCAATAAATGTCCACATGATAAGCCACTTTGTGGCGCTATCATTTGTGGCCAGTTCGCTTTCGAAAAAAAACTATATATCTCAGTGGGCCTTACCTGGTAAAATAAATACATTCGTTTAAAATAATTGTACACGAAAAGCACAATGTTCATGTCCATACGGGTGTGGGGAATGTCCTGTGCATGATTGATGTGGGAAACTCATTCCGTTTTTTTCTTTCATGAGCGTGCGGCTACGTGGCACTGTGGCAGGGCGACTCGGTTGACTTTAAAATTCCACTCCGAATTTGATACATCACTACTGTGAAGAAGGTCAAGAGTAGTTGTCCCATGAATAAAGTGGAACTTGTCAAAGCAATGTATCATTTCATTGGTGGACTGTCAATGCTGCTGATCATGGAAAAACCCAGCATAATTATTTTCCCTTTTTAGAAAAGTTGGTTATTCCTTAAGCAAGGCATGCAATTGCCTATTTACACATTTATGTATTGTCACCATTAAAGTAATAGTTGTGTAGTCAAATTAACAAATGTAAATAACGCTTGAATAAATTGCCAGTGTTTACTGCAATACTGTTATGTTGATTGATTTTGAATAGGTCTAAGTAGTAAATAAGAATTAGCATCTGTGAATTTTGTAACAGGTGCTATGCTCCATGTCATTAAATCTACGGCGCAAAGCAAATCTCTGTCTGAAATTATTATTCTAATCCGCGTAATCCGCCATGCATCACCAAAAAAAGTTCCGCTGTTCTTTCTCATCAGTTAAGTGACAGTAATCCGCATACTCTTTGGTTCTTTCGGTAAAGTCACGTAGGTGAAAATAGAATAAAATAAAAAAACTAAATCACGACGTTTCGGAGGCAGACGGAAGCTTCCGTCATCAGACGGAAGCTTGTGTTGCCTCCGAAACGTCGTGATTTAGTTATGTATTATTATTATTTTATATTCACCTGCGTGACTTTACCGAAAGAACCAAAGAGTATGGATCCTTGCAGTCACGAAAACATCAAATCTAGAAGTAATCCGCATGTTCAAAGGGTTCCTTTGTTTTTGAAAAGCAATCACAATGTTTGCCACTCAAAGCTGTTTGAATTGACACAAGTGCATGGTTTGTTACATCGAGTCAATGCACCTCCGATTCGCAGGGTTGGCAACGCACGGTGCGAAAGAAGTTCAACATACATACATAGAGCAAATTAAACATGTGTTTGTCTCGATAACGTTTGGCGTGAGCCCTGCTAAGAATATTCAGCCAGATAACAAGTATACTAAAAATACCTGTATTATGGACTCGATAGGTAACAAATAAGTTATTGTACTGCCTCCTACAGACATCATTCTGCATCTACAAATATCATACGCACTTGTCGGCTCCATCTCTGTGATCCACCACATCTAAACTAGACTGTTTTATTTCACCAAGTAAGGCACCATTTAGCTCTTATTCAGATGCGACCTGGCCACAACTGATAACTCAACGAAGTGGCTTATCATGTGGAACTCGACCGCAGCCAAATACTCTAAACGCATTTTTCGAACCGATTTTAGTCTTTCATTTAGCTGTTATATCATTAACAATTCTTTTTAAAACGCCTTCTACTTAATAGCATTACCACGAGCATCATATGTTCAGTTATTCATGAATAATTATAATTCACTAAACAATACTCCCTCCCTCTTACTATGTTTAGCTATAATCTGTAGGCATAATTTGCCCTTGCAGATCCAACTGTTAAAAAAGGGACACGCGTGCAGTGTTGTGTTTACGGCAAAGTGATTGATCTAAATGCACTCTGGCCTAGTCCCACAGGGAAAGAAGAGCAGTGGCTATGCTGGAAACAAACTGGATACTTACCTGGTTGGAACAGCCTGACATTAATTAGGTGTGCTGCTGCCAGTCTAAGCTCCTAAGGCAAGCAGCTGAATAAGTTAATGGCTCTTCAATTAACGAATGCATTGCACATGCTGTCACAGTCCAGTTTCTCTGGAGTTACATTGGAAATCAGCAGTAGCAGAGTTGTGGGATAGATGAACAGAAAAGTGTACGTGTACACATATATACATCTACTGTTGGATTCAGGCTCTCGTTATGGTGACAGAGGGCATGTGTGGCTAAACTCTACCATGCACAGTGTGCTTTGCACAATACCACTGCAACAGTAATGAAGTAGACGCATTCAACTGCAGGGCCACACACAATATATATACCCAAACTGCAAGTTCAGTGACAACAAAATATATCCTCGTTTTAGGTTTATTACTCTCTCTCACCGCCGGAATGTTAATTTTGTTCATATACACGCACACGCATCTAAAATATCAATTTTGTGAGAAAAAAAACATCGTGTATTTCGTTACAGATGTTGCTGTACAAACTAACTTGAAAGCACCGAGCTCTGATACGCAATTAATTAAGGATGGAAATCAGTTAATGCAAAGCTTAAGTATATTCCAGTTTAGCACAGCACGGATATTCAATTTAAGCCGTCAAAAAACATAGAACCGAACATTTTATGGCTATAATACTCCTTCCACTTGCTGAAAATGATTACACAGATGGGCAGGAAGATCATTACTGGGGGTGGCGAAAAACGGAGACATGAAATGCACACCTTAAGCACACCTCAATATGCATTTTAAAGCTGTACTACTCTGAATTCCCGTCATTGCACTGAAATCACACTCCTAGCTTGAGGACAGATGCAAGGAGGCAGCGGTCAGGCGCAGTGGCACGAGCCCATAAATTGTGCGTCTTGGAAGGGACGGTTGTTGTTGGACCACACACAAAGAGTTGTCATGTCACTGAGACATACATTTGGCAAGGCAACTCGGCGCATATCGGAAGCCAAGGAACGCACCGGACATTATTTTCTCACACCAATGCTGACGGAAGGGACTTCACTCGCGAGTGCTCAAGATGACCCATCATTCTGGAGGGTGTTTTGGCCTAACTGTTCCACACCGTCCTTACATCTGAGCAGAGGTGGAAGTACCGACACTTTGCCCCACCTCAGGTTTACCCACGTGTTCTCCTGGGTGAAAAGACTCTGTCTTATCGACAGACATGTTCTTCACCTGAGGACGGCTGCTTGCGTTGTGGCCGAAACGTCGTGAAAATTATTTTATTGTTTTATTTTTATTATTTTATTACTTCCCTTCTACGTGACTTTACCGAAAGAACCAAGAAGATGAATTCCTGCAGTCACGAAAGCTTTAAATCGAAATTTAAGTGGGAGGGGATTCGGTGATTAAAGAAACTTGGCCACTGTTTGAGACGGAAGGGGCTACGTCTGGAATGTAAGTCCTATGTGCTCAACCGGGTCACAACTGTACGGGAGGTGTATTTTTGACATGTGTGATGTGAGTTTCCCCTCATGCGTGGAGCTTCTCCAGTCATCTTCTATCTATATATATAAAAAAGTAAAATTTGTGAATATGCAACAAACTTGAAATTTGGCATGTGGGTAGTTTCCAGACTGTACACCATGCAAAAAGTATAAAAATATAATTTTGTACATTTTTTTTGGGGGGGGGGGGGTGGGGGGCGCAATAATGCATATATTTTGCACGGCAAGTGAGCTGTGACGTCACATCTGTCATGTCACCCGCATGCGGAAGCGTCACGCAGTGTGCCTGCTGATGTCACGAACACCCCCCCCAACCCATACAAATGTGTTGCAGGTCTAAGGCGTTCTTCACGCAGCATTGCTGCTTTATTATTTCAGTCGTTTACTGCCGTACGCACCCTGAAAGTTGTTTGTCTGCTGCAAGCGCGCGTGTATGTGTACCTATGGACGCACGTGTGTGTGGGGGGAGCGGTAGTGTAGTGGTTAGCGCGCCGCGCTACTGAACTCGGCGACCCGAGTTCGATTCCCACTCACGGCCACCACCGGTGACGATTATTTGAACCGGTCCTGGGCCTCCCCTAGGTCGACTCAGCCTCAAACGAGTAACTGGTGTTGTGAACATCGCCGCTGGGGAGACAAAGGCGGCCGGGCGTGGTGAATCCAAGTCCCGGGCGAAGCCAGGGTAGTAAAGCTAGTCTATAAAATATAAGGGAAATTTGTGAATGTCTGTTTGAAATGTTTAGCATACTTCCTGACATGCAACAAACTTGAAATTTGGCATGTGGGTAGTTTCCAGACTGTACACCATGCAACAATTATAAAAATAGACTTTTTCTATATTTTTTTTTTGGGGGGGGGGGAACGCAATGATATATGTTGCACCCAAGTGAGCGGTGACGTCACATCTGTCATGTCACCCGCATGCGGCAGCGTTATGCAGTGTGCCTGCTGACGTTACGCATCCCCCCACCCTCTGCGTATTAATCAAAGACAGGAATCCAAGTCTCGGGCGAAGCTGGGTAGTAAAGCTAGTTGTAGAATTAAAAAAACTTTAATCAACATGAAATAACGAGGCATGTTTTTTTTTCCAATAGGTAAGATAGATTGCACTGCATTTTCTTAGGTCAATAACCTTGCTAATTTTATCGGAGAAAAAAACAAGCTATAACACATTTTGTCTATACTAAATGTACAATGTTTGTAGGTTTTTAAGAAGTGTATTGAATGTGTGTATTGTAAACTAGCTACATACAGGATTTACCTTTTGTCCAGGTTATAAGATGTTCCAGATAATGTTCCAGAATAGAATACGCACCCCAAACGTGTGCCCGGTTTCAGTGCTATCTAAATGTGGTTGCACACACACAGACACACCGACCGGATTGATTCAAACCCAACTATTGCTTTAATATAAGAGAAAAAAATAAATGTATTTTACTTTGTGTAATAATATATTGCCCAATTGTTACAATAAGGCATACTTTACTGCCTTAAATATACCTTTCTCAAGATTTTCACGAGGAAAGTGTTAAAAGTAAATGAAAACTAAACAAAATCTTGCTTTTAAAAGGTCAATTTATTAACATCCCAAATGTCGCTTCACTCTAGCAGTCTAAAAATATCAACCTTGTGTATCATTATAGAACAATCAATAAACCATTTAATGTTATTTCTCCTTTCAGGCAGAAAAGCAAAACCATGTTAAATATAACTATTAAAAGCAAAACAAACCAATGCAATACATCAAAACACCAACTTTCATTCATACGTCACTGATAGAGGTCAATATTGCACAACGTTTAACATGCTATGAGAATATGGTATGAAGTGTTTATCAGCTGTTAGCAGGTGGTCAATAATGTGCAAATATTTCAGCAACAGCGTCTTCAGTTCAGATTGGTTTTAAATAAAAATTTCTGCTTGAATATGATTTTCTTTAAATTAACATGCATTTTGTATTATAATCTGTGTATAAACATTGCCATATTTGTATGTAACAAGAGTTTCCCAAAAGAGCAGATCTGCCCAGAACCAAAATCAAACGTACATTTGTAAAAAAAAAACAAGCAAATATGACCAGAATGTCCGCGCATGTAAGCACACAAAAATCTAAATTTACGCACACTTGTATCACTGCATTGGAAACAAAAATCAATGGCTTTGGCACATCTTACAGAGAGAATTACAGAGGCGATAACTATATCTCCGAATAATCCATTTAACGATCTGAATTCCAAAATAGTACATTTTTTATTCTCCTCATTCAGGATTTCAGCAGCTGTGCAAATGGGAGAAACGAATTATTCTTGTTGCTTTTAACTTCTATATTTTAAACACTCAAATTGCGTGCTTTCTTCCCATTATACATTGCGATGTAATACACAATTTAAGCTGAATGTTGTTTAATATTCTCGTCTGCCAGGAGATGGCAGTGTTTAGCATCACTCCCATTATCGGCATGGGCTTTCTCTGGGAACTCAATGTTTTAATTGTGGAGTTGGCTAAACATCCCAAAATGCGTGATGCTCCTGAAAAAAAGGAACGGGACTCAGCCAGCCTTAACTTTGCAATTGACATTTTTGAATGCAATGTATTTGCTTTCTCTGTATATGTTCAAGTAAGATTGTATATTAATAATTACAATCATTTAACAGTACTCCAATTGTGTAATAAATGTTAACTTTGCAAATTCGGACATGACACCATTGGTAAACAATTGCCACATATTCAAATATAAGTCTTTAATATCCACTTTGCAATACATAACCCAATTTGATAATACCCTAATATATCACTGGATGGATATTGCCATCATTTATCATTCAGTATTCATCATTACCGCTTCCAGCAAAGTGAAAGAGTCGGCATAAGTTTTAGTCAAGCTGGGAATGGAGTCTCAATTAAAATTCTCAGTTATTACATGTTATGTGTTGCTAAAATGTTGAAATATTCATTTTTGCCTGCAATTGTGGATATTTTTATTTTTACAAACCAATTCAGAAAGCTGTTTCTTGTAAACTATTTTAAACTTTAAAAAGTAAACCAATGCTATTATCTGTCAATACCAAAAGTGGGATAAATGACATGACATGGATTTGGTTTGTGCCTTGTGAACATTTTTTATTTACATTACTGCTAGGTCTATAACTAAAGCACTGCAAACACGTTTGCATTGGTTTAAGGTACATGGAGAGCCTACTTTAAAATAGCTGGCAAAACATTTATCTGTCCAAATGGAATATTGAATTCTATTGAACTAAGTACATTATAGAATCCACACAAATGGAAGCATTTTTTAAATTCATTAAAATGTGCTTCAGAATTTAAATGTGATCTTATTACAAACGTAGCCATGGCTGAATTATTTGTAAACTGTTAACAGTATACATGTCAATGTCTCCACACATTAATCGTACGCATAAATACAAGCCAGTGGGGGATTTATGCGAGGCTGCCTCATAAAAAATTCAGAATTCAACAAACGTTTGTTCTACCGTGTTCTGGAAAAAAAAACAATGAAAAGAAGTCATCAAACCCAACATACCAGTTTTCTCAGCACCAGCTTGTAAAATCATCATGAGTGCAATCGGAGCGCTTAAGTTCCGTTTTCCAATCACACCTCAACTGGAAATCATTTCCTGGCTCACACATGCAAGTTTAATTTAAACAAGAGGGGAGAAAACCTGTTGATTTTGTTTCTGTTTATGTTGGTATTAGTCTGCATTAACAAACCATAGTAATAAAACACAATGTGATAATTGTTAAAAAATTCTAGGAGTAGAAATGTCTGAAATTACCTTATTTAGTAGAAACCAGTGTCAGCTGCACTTGAACACAATCGTGAAGGGCGAGCAATCAATAGAATCCTCAGACATTTCTGGGTTCCTGAGACCTTTTCAAATCCACAGGTTCTCATTGATTTTTTTAGAAAGCAATGTTAATGTCACATACAGCCCTCTCAGCATTTACGATACCCAATACAAATATTTAATGTAGAGTATTGTCTTTACCATAACTTCCCAGTGACAGATTTTGTAAAGGCATGTCAACTCTAATGCTGCCCAATATTATCGTTACCTTTTGCACAATTTCGGACTTCAAAGCAGTATTGCTGGTGTATGCACAACATATAAGAGAAGAACCCAATCAGCCTCATAGTGTTTCATGTGCCAGATGCATTTAAGAGATGAATATCCAGCAAAAGTGTACGTGACAAGCAAGCTTAGGACTATGAGCATGTCATCTAGAATCACGAGAGCCAGCCTATTCATCTTCTGCATTGTCATTTGCGATTTGTCATTACACTTTTAAATGCAAATTGTATTTCCACTTACTCAAACGTTATAAGATATTTATAAACATACCATCCAAATACTTGCAATTTTAAAACATTTATATAAAAGTACAAACATTAGAATATATATTTATTTTCAATATCGTGTATTTACCTTTTGTTGCCTCGGACAAAAGACACCCACAGTATATTAACCTGCCAGGAAGTCTGAGTTAAAATGTTTCTAACCTACTGCATACTAAATACTACAGAACATTGCAGATTTAAAAATACAAAAAGGGAAATACAGACTATTTCAAAATTACATTTATTAAAATCACACTTTCCCCATTTTAAAGATAAAAATGGTTATTTACAAAGTAAAATCGGATGTGTACAATTGTATTTAAACACTAAACCAAGTTCTTACATATTATTCAGTTGCTATCAAGTGTCCATTGTCTTGTGTGTTAATTTAATTTCCAGTAAAAACAAAACCTCATGCTGATACATTGTGCTTTACAGGCAGCGTAGCCAGGAATGCAATTATGATTGGTTTTATACATGTGCAGCCAATGTCCTTAAGGACATGCCAGTGTTCAACTTGAGTTAAACAATTTGTTGGCATCAATTTGAATTGCATTCCTCAACAGTTCACTCGATAACAAAATCCTCAGCAAAAAAAGTAAAACATGAGACAACTAACTGATGTCCCGGTGATGATGAGAGCAAAGAAAAGTAACCAGATAATGCCCCTATAATAAAGCTAGATAAATGCACCCATGTTCCATAAAACAACATCACCTTTGAATGCAGCAAATTGAGCCTCTTAAACATCTTGAATTACAAATATCCCGCAGCATTTGGAAATTACATTTGGTGTAAAGAATGCAAAGCAATACATCTTAGATACAGTTCAAAATAGTCCCGTACAAAATAAATCTTGCTATACTTGTATATACACACACATTATGTACATGCATATATATATACATGAATGCATATGTACATATAAATGTATGAGAACGATGAGCAGAAGACTTTATTGAACCGCATGTCAGCCCGCAAGGTTTGATAAGTATACTTATCTCACTGAATGTGTTTCAGACTAATTAATAAGTGCACTCAAAGCTTACCTGGGGTCATAGTTCAAAAGTTAACGTTGCCAATTCATTTAAAAATAGACGAGGCTGGTGAAAATGTTAAAAGGGGATTCTGAACAGTCGCAAACATCTAACATGTGATATTCTACTGGGGTGTCTGCTTTGTGACACTTGTGCTGGTTCTAAGTGATATATATTAGCAAACTCATGTACTTGTGTCACAGGCAAAATGCTGTGAGATCAGCCCAAATTCAGGACACCAACATGCATTATGTAATGTGATAAAAATGCTAAAATTTATATTACTAAATGCAATATTGCTCTTATATAAATGTGTATTTGTATTCCAGCATTGTTAATTCGTATTAAAATTAAGGAATAGAAACAAATATTGTGGTATTATAAATTGGAAACCAGAAATCCAAAGGAAGCTGTATTTTAGGAACAGCCAAGATGCTGCTTGTATATAATTCATTAGTAGAGGCCTTCAAAATGTATTAAAATATTTTTTTTATTTTCCTTTAAGACACCTACTAATGTGGGGCAGCTTATGTTCTAATTAAAAAGTAATGCAACAATAAAAATGCATACAATCAAATACCGACAATAAAGAACAGACCCAGGTGTTTTACCCTTAGCCATGGCCATAACAGGACAGTTCCAAATGTGAATCAATGCAAATGTAAAAAAATACAACATCAATATCCACAGTGCAGAACAGAGATTAAATTCTCAGCAATTACATCATCATCATCGCCTCACTCAAACTGCCAGGCTTCTGGCTACCACACCAACCTATCGGAAATACTTCAGGCCTGCGACGAGGAAAAACTTCTCCAGAAATATCTCCGAGTCGAGCACGGCGATGTGAGCGGCACGTCCGATGATGGAGTTGGCCGTGCTGGGGAGTGCGTGGATGGCGTTGTAGCGCACAAGGCTGCACTCCTTATTCTCCAGCACGGGCTTTAGCAGGTTGAAGATCATCTCCATGTACACAGGACCTGTAGACATGTACCACAGCAAGTACAATCAAAATCAATTAAATGCTCCTACCTATCCAGCAGCGATTTGCCCAACGGCAATCATGACATCTTTTCATAAGTGGCATGGCTAAATGTAATGTAAAGATCAGGAAGATTTCATCCATTACCAAAAGCTTCCACATTAAAGCACAACAGAAGCAGTTTTATTTGCCTTTGTCTTTCGGGTGAGTCATGAGCACAGTGTGGTCTGTGAAACTAATGGAACTCTGCATCCCAAACAATCCGAGGCCAAAAAAATGCCTCATCTTAATTAATTTTGAGCATCGGAAGAATACGATTAATTTAAGTCATGGACTACTTGTGTGGGTCTCTCCTATATCAAATATATATGAGATGCAGCAGTTACTGGGTGGTACCGTCGGAACTGTGCAAAATGGGCCAGTGGCAAATATGCTGACCACTAGGCTACTCAGCCATGTAGTCTAAGAACATTTATCCAAGTTCTCCTTTCGCTAGGCTACACATTAGCAGCATCAACATTGCCAGTTTTGCAGCATCAACATTACCAGAAAATGCTTTGCATTTCGTGCACTTTGCTTATGAAAAAATAAACAGTACACTCCCTGCAAAGCCTGTGCAATGCTCGTAGAGATGGTATGCAAGCTGTTAGCCAATCAAAACACAGACACCGAATCAACATTAAAATACAATAGATATAATTTTATATAAATATTCTCAAAAGCAATGTTTTAAGAAAATATTTTAATAATTTTCTGTAGTATTAATTCCATTTGCAGAATATTTTTGTATTGCAAAGTCACAATGCAGACCAAATACTTTACAGAAGATAAGTATACAACTATTTTGTGGAGCATCATTTTACGTGGACAAGCGTAGTAATTTAATATATATTTTTTACAATGATTTTACAGCTTAATTTTTTGTCACAATAGTCAATTGCATTTATACTGGCTACGAATGAAAACAAAGGTTTATAATACATATTTGATAAGATAAGATGAATGATTATACCGTTGGTTTCAATGGTCCATTTAAAACGCCACAATGACGGAAATCGATAATAAATTAAATGGATGATTGTCCATAAAACAAAGATAGGAAAAGTGTGCATATTTTGATTGGGAAAACTAAAGAAAATATTAAAAGGTGCTAACACAATTTAACACCTAATTCTACTGATAAATCATTTTTTATAATCAAGTGATTCAAAAACGATACGCTCATCAGTTGCACGAAATTGAATCCACGCTGGAATCGTTGCCAAAAGCGGTCACCCTTTGATGCAGGCAATCAATTCAGGGCTCTGCCTGATGGGGCTCTTCACCTGACTGTTTGTCCTTTGTGGCCGTTTTGCAGACTTCAATGCGCGCCGAGTGGAAGGGAACGTAACGGTCTTGCATTGAACCCACGAGCACCACGTACTTAAAGTGCTGAAGTCCTGGAAAACAGCACATTGGCGTGAGCAATGGGAACATGAAGGAGCTACCAAAGGACACTACTGGACTTAAGCGAGTCCTGTTTCAACACATTCAATATAAATACACCATGTGGTTAGGAGCCAGCTTTCTCTTCCATAACAGGGATACGCATGAATTACTTACTGCAAGATATTTTAACGCACGAGCGGACTATACCAAGATAAACCATTTCTATTATGGACAAATACACAATTTGTTGATTTCAACAGTCAGTCATATTCATATTAACATTGTAAAAATCAAGCCAAAGAGAAAAGTAAATGATTAATAATGATACAATTATTGTTAGGAAATTAATAATGACCAGCTAGATAGCCTTGAGGTCACACCACACACTCCAATACACCATTTTTCAATACAAAAGCTACCCGATGCCTACATGACGTACCAGTGGTTTTCCTATAAATAAATCTGTCATCGGAATATGGAATTTCCATCCACTTGAGACATGTCCTACCAAGTTAATGAAAAAGATAATGGAATATTACTACTGTAATAGCCCAGAAATGTGTGTAATGCGCGTGACGTCACTCCACATGCCACACCCTCATCAAATTCCGATAATTGCGATGACGATCAACAAGTGCCAGGGTCAGACTTTTGAAAATGTGGGTATTTATCTCAATGAATCCGTGTTTTCCCATGGACAGTTGTACGTGGCTCTGCCGAGATCTAAAAATCCTCAGCGAATCAAAGTGTTCATCAAGGATAGTCAACTGCAGGGAAACCTTTTGAACAGTGATAAGAGATTCACACAAAATATCGTATACCGAGAAATCTTACAAAGTCCTTAATTTCATTTTTTAAGTTAAGAAAAATGTATTTACGTGCAACAATTCCTCGAAAAAATTACAATCACAAGAACATGTAAATGTACATCTTTAATATTACAGCTTCCGTCCTAGGAAGGGCAAAAGGCTAGTTATCCAATAATATATCTATGGGACCCTTTTTGCTAGTATCAAAGGGTCCAATAGATACAACTGCTTAACCAGAGGTATTTGCAATGCTTTTGTGCCGTTCACCTTTTGGCATTGTGGTATAACACTGGTGAGACAAGGCCATACAGGAGGCTGTCTCTGGTGTAGGTCAATCAGGTTCAAGGACAATGGGTACATTATCGAAGCATGTTTGTTTTGCATATTTTACCACAAGCATGTGTGGTTAATGCAGACTTGACGCATTGAAATAGGTGCCTATTTGGTGTTTGAACATCTTAACACCTGTATTATTGTCGGAAAGGATAAGGCCTAATCTTTTTCATAATTCAAGAACGTAATCTATCGTGTGTCTGCATGAGGCATGATACAAAAATACATGTACAAACCATCAGAGGCTTGGCACGTACTTAAAATGTGAAGGGAAATGGAGTCTTAAGTGAGAAATAAATGACATCCTAAGGACAACTGTTCTATTGTTTGTGCATGGGTTCGGATTATGTATTGCACTGACGTTAAACACTCACCTGTCTTCTGGCTGAGTCTATAGAGGAAGGTTTGCCGTGGGTCTGAGTGGTCACGGCAAGTCAGCTGCAGCAGAGAGCCAGACTTTTTCCACTTCTGCATAAACCAGAGGCCTGCAAACAAGGAACACGCGCTTTTATGACTGCCCAACCTCCGTGTCTCCAATTGCAAGGAGTTGGAGAAATCTGGGTCGTAAAGCTTTAAATATAATCATGAAAAAGAGCTAAATTATGCATAATGCAATAGCCATTCTCCATAGCTACTCATTCCTCAAGAGGAGTGAGAGGCTTTTCTCTATTCATTCCACGTTATTTTTTTATTCCACTTTCAGCTAAGTTTAGTGCTCCCCAATGCCTCGGCTCTGCCAGAAACCACAATTAAAGTTGTAATTCTTCCTTGTGCCTTCTCTTTGAGGTATATTAACTTTAAATAATGACCACAACATTTAAATAAAAGACAAATTCGACACATTAAACATTCAGCTGTGCAGAACATATGTATTCCAGTGCATAGTCCCTTAGCTAGGCAGTACAGTTAAGAAACCTTTATTTCCATGTTTTCGATTTGCTCTTCTTTCAAGCCAAGTTTTACAAATGGTATCACATCATCTAGCCAAGCTTGTATATAAATGTTGAAAGGGCATGAACCACATTCTCTCACGAATGTGAGAGGTAAACAAACTACAAAAATAAACCATACAAACACAGAATACCATATTGGTTGCACAGACCGTTTATTATTTGCGACCTATGTACACAACTGTTGGAAAACAGTACAAATATGATTGGTTTTAAACTATTCATGGATTAAGATCTCTTGTTTAAAAGGATTATAAAACCCTGTTGTATGTAACAGTTATAAGTTAATTATATTACTTGTCGGAGAAAAATAAATGAATAGTTGCAAGCTTGCGCAACATTGGATATATATCACACAACTTGTCAAATTTTGCCACAGCGAAAATGAAACACAAATGTGTTTGTACTCGTACACAGATCGAATGGAGCACTGTATTTGTAATCTTCACACTTATTATCCCTCGCAGGTCATACGGGTGGAGCTGTCCACAAACTGCTCTATGGACAGGCACACACAAAAGCATGCCACACTTGCTTATTCCCTTGCCTATGCGACCGACTCTCTGCGGCCATTCTGTCACCAGTTTGTGCGTCAGTTGTCATTATTGTTGTATGTCAGAGCCAAGTCCATTTGCTTTCATTTCATTCGAATTGTCATCATCAATAAAAGCGAGCTCAGTAACGGCATGCCGAGCTTCGCATGCATATAAGAAGAATATGGTGGTTTAGCAACCCGCATGCAATTCACCTTCACTTTATACACACTCACCTACACACACGTGTACAAAAAAAATACAGCCTGACAAATTACTGCTACCTGCTGACGAACTGGGGGGCATGCGTGTATAAAACGTAAATCACGCATGTAAATATGTGAACATATGTGCCATGCGCACAGACATTCCATAGTGAAGAGACTTTAATCACAGATCAAATACCAATATCCATACCCAGATTCAACGTGAATCTATAATTTCTTAATGTTGCAGGACCACATTATTGTGGTAACTTATCATACAATGTTATGAGCAATAAGGTCATGACATTGTAAGCTAGATCTTAGGAACAGAGGAGATAGGGCTTCTGAGTCACATTTAATTAATACATTAATTTGTATTTAGCCTTGACCCTGATAACCTGAAAATATTTTTCAGCACACAGTGCAGGTAAAATAGCATACATTGGTTTCTGTTCATACCAAATTACATTGGACTAGACCTTTTGTTCGACAGTTGACCTCAGTTAATTGCCTCATAATTGCCTAATTAGCCTGCATTACTACGTTGCGTTTTAAAGACTCGTATCTAAGCATGTGTTTGAGAGCGAGTGTGTGTGTGGGTGTTTCGGACAATGTTCCTAACATTAGCATACACTGATCATTAGACGATTTAATGAGAAGCATCCAACATGTGCTCTTTGCATATTTTGCATTTCAATCTACTTATGTTTGCTGTCTAATCAACCAATGGTACAATTCAGCATCGCCTATAACTATGATCATTCCGTGTTGAAATAAACCAATTATTATGCAGCTTCCAAAATATACTGGCACTGGCCATGACCCGTGAATATACAAATGGTAAAAGTGGAGTCTCCGCTATTAACTGTGCAAATATGTGAAAAATACATTCTGCATTTATAACCATGGTGCTTAATGCATAGACCTCTGACCTAATCCACAAGAACGAGACAAAACTGGAAATGATTTGCATGTCTTTGTTCCTATATTCACTGCACCACCAAGCTGTTGGATGTCGGGCTGTGTGCAGTCATGAGTGCAGTCCAAGGCATGCCGGGCATGGTCACACATGTGTGCAATCAAGTGACACGGGGGGTGGGTTTTGTCGGTCACGTACAACAACATTTATGTGTGCCTACTAAACTTTCCTGCAAGGCAAGGCGACCTTTAGAAGGCAGTAGAGCAAGTAGCCCGTAGGCCTATATGTACATATATATACGACTCTTATCCCATTGATTTTTCTACTTTTACCTAAAATTACTTAGTCTACTCACGCACAAACATATTCCATGGGTGAAATATCCTAATGCAGAACCACTTGATATTTTTTTTTTAACTCAGCAAGGTTTTTCTACACAAAAAGGCATTATTTCCTAGTATTTTTACTCTTAAACATTTGATTGGCCTTTGACCAAACCATACGCCCGATCTCATCAAGGTTTGAGCATGCATAGAACAGTAATGTAACCGGCAGTGGGGCTATGTTGTAAGCAGCAGGCAGTGCAGAAAAATCCATTGTTGAACTCCACTATGCTTCAAGGTCTATGCTACCTATATTCACCCAACCTGCACTGACCAGACTGGTGAAGTATGGTCAAATAACCCCTGTGCCCCATATAGAGTGAGGAGACCCTCATTCAGCAGTGGGTTTACAATACGGCTGTACATAAATACATACAAGTCTGGGTTTACTTTTAAATATTTAAAGACAGGCTAACAGACACAACATCTCAAGGTGAATATGCCATGAAATCAGGCAGCATCCGCCCTAATGCCTAACCCAGACATGAATCCTCCACTAAAATGCAAATAACATAAGAAGAAATTTAATCTGTGACTACACGTAAAAAAAAACTATCTAAATATGTTCATCCATCAGTCTATTGGCTTTCCAGGCAAGAATTACTGCAATATTAAAATAAAAAAGTATACCTGCCAACTCATTAATTAATTTCAGAAACAAAACATTAAAAGGGTCAGTGTTAACATTTAAAATTAACAGTGACCCATAATAAAGTTTTACTCCAGAGTTGTTTCAAGTGGTTCGGAAGCCATGTGTTTGACACACCACTGGCAAGCCAAACAAGCATGGGCAGTACACTCATGCTTGTTTGAACTTTGAGCCACAAGACAACCGCTTTAAGTTTTGCACAAAGTGGAACTCATTTTAATCACCAGTCAATCTATGACCAGAAGTTGAACCCACATTTCCTTTTCGGAGGTGAATGCTCTTGTTTAAATTTCATTATACTGGCAACTCATTTTTATAAACAGGCGATTCAAAACGCTATACTCATTCATTTGCACGAAAAAAAATCCACACAGAAGATGTTGCCAAAATCTGCCACTCTTCTACCAATGCTCAAGGATAATCTCCACAGTACAGATGACTACATAATGTATTGGTGCAAGTAGGAGCACACTGACCAGTATTGACGAGGGTGCTACTGTTGTACAGGGTGCCCAGGTGGGGTCCGGAAAGAGACAGGAAGGTGTGCAGCTTTGGCAGGTAGTACTTGAACCGTGGTCTTGCCAGCACCGAGCGGATGATGATGTTTCCCAGGGAGTGACCAACAAAGCTGACAATCCACAAAATCACAAACCAAAACAGAAACTGAGCAGAACGGTTTGACATTAGGATGCATACAACTTGCGGTGCCCATGTAGGACCCTGGGTTATTTCTCAAGGAAAATCATGTTAATCACTTTCACTTATCATGGATTGACATGTACGCTCATCTTACAATTGTTTTTTAGTTCAAATCCTGTCAAAGGAGGGATCAACTGAAACTCAATCCATAATCACTCCAGAGTCCATGTAATAGGAATGTGAGATTTCCACAACTGGCATAGATCAAGAAACAGCAATGAATGTATATATTTTTGCTCGATTTGAATGGAACTGAAACATGTTCATGAAAAGCACAGATACTGTGCAGTAATAATTCCTGCACATTGCGTACATCTGACCGTGAGAAACACGTACCTAAATGCTGATCTAGGTCAAAGATATGAAGAGAGCAATAGTTATTTGCATTTATCGCTTCCGTGTACAGAGTTTGATAGAGATCGGATTTAAATTGCCATTGTTACAAATGGGACAGTCATGAACACAGACAGGTTGAGACAAGAGTGAAAAAAGATAGGGTCTGAGAGACAAACTCAGAGAAAATAACAATGAGACAAATGCCCATTCTCACTAAATCCTGTGAAAAACATATTCACCAAAAGAGACAGGAGATTATATATTAATGCATTTCATTCGAATAGCTGAATGCTCCACATTTTAAAACAGCTTTGTAATGGTACATCTTTATTATTCGAAATAATGTTTTTGTCGCATGTTAATTCTACACTTCACAGTTGAAAACTATGTTTATGTTACATATTTTCATTCCATAAATTAGGTGCAATTGAATCTTGCAAAACACAACACAGCTAATGTGATTCACCGGGAAATTAATGATTAGTGATAAAACTTGCAATTTGCATAAACAAATCTTTTTAGGTACACTTATTTTTATGGAAATTTTTTTTCACCAACATCTCTTTTGCACATTCACAGCAAACAAAGCAAGTTTATTCATTCCACGTGTGTTGTGGGGTTAGATGGAGGTTGCATCCAAGGGTATTAAATAATGCAATTCACATGCGATCAGACGGGGCCATCTGCAGGTAGGATTAGAGTGTGATTGAAGTCTTCCTTATCTGGCAACGGTTTGGTCATAACTCACAGCTGCCAAACGAAGAGAATTAACTACGGGAAAAATGCCAGTTCCTGTTCAATCACACCCCCATTACTAAGGCAGACCTCCACCTTTCCTGAATTCTGCGAGCACAACTCTTTCAATTTCATGTTTAACAGTGCACAGCAATGGGAATCTAAACCTGCTTAATGAGGGTGACCACTCTTCTTCTGAAGACTGATAATTTCTATCGGGAAACGTTTTGCCCAATATATAAAATGGCTCTCATATTCGCTCTCACTGACAGATCAAGTGCGATTCCATTGGTCTGTTTAAATTAGACATTCATGAGTCCACTACTCAGCAGGTGATACGTATTGGTCACTGCCATGGCATGTTATTGAAAGCAGTGCAATGCAGTCCATCAGTGTGCATCATCTGAAAATCCATATAACCTTTGCTTGCCTTTGTACACTATGGCCTCAATTCATCCATCTTAGTCGCCTTTGAGGTGAAGAGCAACTTGTCACCCTGACAAAGTGTGTCTGCATGTGTCTGTTATTAATAAGCTGGCCCAATGAAAACTGCACAAGTACCATATTCATCAAACACTGAAAATGTTGATCATTTACCTGAGTAAGCTGAGGCCACACTAAGGCTTAATCAGTTGCTGACCTTGACAGCTTAAGGCTAAAGATGACATGAAAGCAATCTTCCATTTAGAGATAGCACACCTCAAAATAAACGCCACTCAACAGAGCTACACCATTAGAGCTGACACGGCATCTGCAGACACAATACATTCCCCACGGAGCATACACTGCATAAGAGTTTGTTTAAATATGCCAGCTACATCTGAAGACCTGCCATAGCTGCTTATAATCTGCCGCTGGTTTTATTATTTGACCACAGTTCTCAAGGTCACTTCCAAAAAGAAAGCTGAATTTAAAATCCACCATTACAAAATGTTGCATTTGTACTGCTGCTCTCATTTTATGTGTTACACAACCTTGGCTATGCTTTTACGCAGCATTTTTTAAGCATGGTCAATGCAATTGGTCTCTTAGAGAGTTACTGGGACTGTGTCAGCTTTAAGCAACAGTATAATCAAGCGGGTGGCACTTCCAATGAAACGCAATGAACGATGCTGGATGGCCACAATTTAAGGCTTGGCAGAGTCTGTCTGCATAATTTAACGTACAGTTTTCACTTTGCATCCCTTCGTTATTTTACTAAGCAGCACTCGGCAACTGGGCTAGTTAGCAAAACATCATTAGAAATACTAATGTAATGTTATATAGGTCTTACGTTGTAAATGAACAATAACATGTTCACAATTTAACACTACCATTTCCCACCGTTTTTACATAATTGCACATCATCCATAAGTAAATTACTAAAAAAAGTAAGTGGGTATAAGCATTCTGGATAAAGGGAATAGAGATACAGAACATCAAATGCTCATGTACAATGATAGTACCCATTTATTTAACTACAAAAGCAACAATTGACACCATCAATACCCATGTTTGTATGACAAGTACCTTGTAAACACAAGGGACTGATATCCATGTTAACACAAATTAAACCAGCAATTCAATGTTTGTACCGATGCAAAAACGCTTAAAATTAGCAAGAAGGCACACGTCAGTTATTACTAGAAAATGACACTGAGACTGTGCCATGATAATGTCAGCTACCAGAATATTATTACATAGACCGTGCAGGTCTGCACAGAGCCAATGTAAAATAGAAGTTCCAGCATCTCATCACCTTAATCAAGCGTTTCCTAGAAAAGAACGCTGTGCAGAAATACACTAATTATAATAAAATGTTAACCAAATTTGCAATGAGGAAATACATTAATCAATTCTATATTTACAATAAAGCCCGTGCCTATTGTAATAAATAACCACTTAGCAAAGAAGATACTGAGTATTTTACAACAAGCAGATCTTATTAATACATTCTTGACAATTCAATTGCAGTCAAAATAAAAAAATGAGTTTTAGGCAAAGACAGAGACGTAATAATGACTTACCTTTACGAATAATGTCAATAGGCATTTACTGTAGTGTTTAAAACGGACAATGTAATACTTTTTAACATAAGCAGAATTACAATCCTTAAACTTGTGCAACGTGGTTCAGTGGCAACTGCTATACATGCTAAGCTATTCAACCACTTTGACGGCATGAAGCATGTTCCATCAACTACTACTACACAGGATCACTCACTTTGTCCGTGTAAAGCAAATTTGCAAGACTGCAGGGAGTAATTATGCACCAGGATTCACGAATGTATGCAAATCTTATTCGTTTCTGTGCAGAGTGTGAATTATACTGTCTGTGTGTGCATGGTATGTGAAGTTCCTGTACTCCAGGAAATGAATTCATCCAAAAAGGCTGAGATATACAGTCCAATATACTGCCAATCATTTTTTTCTTTACACATACAAACCCGCATCCTATAAATCTTAAAGAGAGCATATTAAAGATATGGAGATGACTGAGATATAGCATGCATGCACATAAAATGATTGACTGCACACTGAACACTTATAGAGTATGGGCTAGAGGATAAGGTTATATGCATATCAGCATGTGCACACCAAACACAATCTTATCACCAACAGCTGCCATGATAGCGACTACCCATTTTAGCTATCTGAGCTTTTGCAATAAGAAAAGCTACACAAAAAAAATGCTACAGAATCAAGAATGGACCTACATTGTCTAGGCGACGGTAACAGTGTCTGATTTGGATTCATCTATTCAGGGCACGTTCACAATTGCAATATTTCTTCCATTTTTGAAAGGGCATTTAAGAGAAAATGTTTTACTCCATTTATTTTATGTGTGTATGTACCTGATTCTGCATAAGCTTTTTACTGACCTGAATATATTAGAGAGCAGAAATGCCACATTTCCATTCCTTCGTATCAAATGTGCAAGTTCTAACCTGATTTTGGAGACGACAAGGTTGTAGATTTGAATGTGCTGCACAATTTCATCCAGAAGGTGATCGGTCATGGTTTCAAAATCTGCAAATGTATCTCCCTGCAAAGCAGAACACAAAGCAGCACAGAATTGTTACATCAATCAATCAATCGCGTGGCACACAGGCAAACTCAAACTCAAGGGTGCACTAGTCACAAAGATCGTTTTTAAATGCATAGGGATGCTACAATTTTCATATTGTAGTATCTACAGATACAGTTGTTTTATAGCTAGATATTTAGATTGTTTACTTTAAAGTTGTCTGTAAAGTTACAAGGTGATAGAGAAGTCGAAATATAATGAGAAGCACTGAAGTGGAAAATAAATCTTCCTTGGTGGCATGCCCTTTATTTTTCCATTTGCAGAAAGGATGCAATCCCCCTGAGGAGAAAATCTCCTTTCAAACCTGGATTAGGCTAGCAATAGATAGCACGAAATACAAACGTAAAAAAAAAACAATCAGAGATTTTAGCATAGTGTGAATCAATAGCACCCTTTACAATTATTGAGTCTCAAAGTACACATGCAAACCGAATGGGATACAATAACATGCAGGGAACTATGAAACAAACTTGTACACCCGATTCTGAAAACTGCATAATTTACATAATTATGGCACATCGCAAACTCAACATATTTGGATCGTTTTTGTTAATAGATTATGTCAGAGAGCCATCATTATCTTTATTTTATAGTTCAACAAAAAAATTGGTTTCTAATGCACAAAATAAAGAGACACTGCAATACACATTTCCAAACTCAAAATGCTCAACAATAAAACTGCGTATTGTATTTGTTCTTAGCTGTATCAAGAATGCACGGTGCCCAAAATCATCACATTTCATATTCTGCCGCTGCCATGGCCCATTTACACAAGTAGAAGAATTGAGCACATCGTCAAGATTTTTAAATGGAGGTGGCCCTTTTTCGTTGGGCACGCTGGCTACGAAAGCATGCAACAGCCTGTTATCTCCATCGGTCCCATTTACACCTGATTAAGCAGTCGCACTAGTGATAATGATGATAGATTTAGCACTGGCTTTGTCGAAAACGCATTGCTGCAGGCCAGCGCGAGCATGCATTAATTTACGGCAGCTCCTGCGGGGCCGCTAAAACCCATCTTTGAACGCTACGTGAATCCAAATTGTATTGTTTCGTGCTATTGTACTTTCATGCCGCAGCCGAAAAGGAGGTGACAAGTTCTGCCCATACGAACAGAAATTAATTTTCAAAGCGACAGCACCACAATTGTTTTCGTAGCAATCAGCATCGCCCTAAAATGTGCATGGCAAACAGCTATTGCTTACAGTTACAGCGAACTTCGCAATGCAATTTATGATCATTAATAAATGTTGCACGCCCATTATTTATTTATTTAGTCTCATGCCATTGTTTTAACACGTTGCATTACTCGATTCTCAATCAGAAGGTTGCGAGAACAAAAATCCCAACTGAAGGGTTAATTAAGCCAATAATCCCGCCGAGATTAATTAAATAAGTACTACTGCCAATGGATATGAGCATCACCTTAATGCCCCTCGATCCGAAGGTGCTAAACTATGCAATTAAACGTGTATTAATACGCTTCAAGTTCATTTCCAAGACAGATGTTTAAAGGGACATTCAGTTTCACAGATGAACATTCACAGTTGCACAAAGTATGTGAATGCTCCTTCTTGGTTCTTTCGGTAAAGTCACATAGAAGGGAAGTAATAAAATAATAAAAATAAAACATAATAAAATAATTCTCACGACGTTTCGGCCACAACGCAAGCAGCCGTCCTCAGGTGAAGAACATGTCTGTCGATAAGACAGAGTCTAAATGACACACCTGAGGACGGCTGCTTGCGTTGTGGCCGAAACGTCGTGAGAATTATTTTATTATGTTTTATTTTTATTATTTTATTACTTCCCTTCTACGTGACTTTACCGAAAGAACCAAGAAGATGAATCCCTGCAGGCACGAAAGCTTTAAATCGAAAAATATGTGAATGCATCTTCGGCAGACAGACTGAGGAGATTAATAGATGCATTAGTAATCAGATCAATTTGTCAATGCACTGCTAGAAGAAGCCTTCCTCAGTGTGCCAGTCATGAAGGTTGTTTGAGCATACATCACCATACTAGTCAGTGCAGGTTGGTAATGTGGTTTGGGTCCAGGACCGGTCCAAATCAAACTAAACTAAACAATTGTATTTTACCAGGGAAGGCCCACTGAGAGATATAGCTAATTTTCAGAAGAACTCTGGCCACAAATGATAACGTAGTGGATTATCACGTGGATATTTATAGCAGCCAAATACTCAATAAATGCGTGTTTCTAAATTATGTCAGCCATGGATAGGAATCAGACTCAGGTCACCAGGTTCATCGTACAGTGCACCAACCACTGCACCAAGGCAGAACTTTTATATATTAAATTCTCAAATATGAAATCGATTTTTACATTTGAGACACTTGTAACATTGTGGAAGTCAAACACAGATACATTTAAAAGCACTACCAAAATGGAGTTCATCCAGTTTATGGACGCCTACTCAGAGCTATGTTTTTCATGCATGTGCAAATCTACAAGCCATTCGAAATGCTGCAATTCTTCCTGAAATGAAACAACGATTTAACCTGGAAATGGCTACATGAGAAAAAAAGTATTATTGCTCAATATTCCCCGTGTGCTGTATCATAAATGCCCCATTACACGCTATCGATTGAAAAAATAAGCTAAATATTACCGAGTTCATAAATCATGAAATGAAAACTTTTCTGCTTGTGCTGGAGCACAAAGTATATATTAGATTTGTCTAAACATTTGCTCTATATCTAAAAATATAATGATCTTGCCAGTAAATATAAATGTTAGCCTCAACCATTTTTGAATCCACTCCTTGTTTATTAATCGGGCCACATTATTGGACAGTGTCACAAAGCATTCTTTACCATATAAGCAAATATACCGCACCTAGACAAATAACATTCCCTGAAAGGATGCTCAACATACCTCGACATTTAACAGTAAAACTAATACAACAATCGTTATATGTTTGGCATGACAATGTACATTTTAAAAACGTGTGTAGCTTTCATAAATCAGATATCTGGCGTTTCAACGGAAGCCTAAAGCGAGGCCAAAAAACGAATTCTAAAACAATCAAACGGCTGTTTGTTCAGTGTCTGACAACGGAAGTGGGTTGGCGGTAGGGGGGAATTGGTTCCTTGTTTAGTCGATTGCATTGTCGCCTTGAAAATTGGTGAAAATCTTCAACAAAAAATGACTTCCAGCCATAGCATTATTGATTTGACAGTTGGCAACTTACAATAAAAAAAGTTAAAATACTGCAAGTTAAACTCTCAGTCAGGGCTCGACTGGTCACGAACCTTCCAGGGTCGAAAAGAATACACACTGCAGTACTTTACTGGAAGTCAACAATGGCACTTCTGGTATTGGTTCATGGCCAGTAATCGAGTTGCCCCATTGCTCAGTTTTACTGATATCTATTTTTACTTGACTAGGAAGAGTTGGGACTCGGTGAAATGGTTGACACAAAGATGAGGCATGTGTACAAGTTAGACTTCAGGTGGACAAGACATAAAACACAAGGGAAGCCTTCAATAAGCTGTGAGTAATGGTAGGCCTTGATGATTATAGCTACGAAGTGCACGAGACCATGATGTTGCTGTGTCTGCAGAGCTGAAAGGCCTTAAAGCAAGTGTTGTATTTAAAGCATCAAGAGTTTTAAAAACGTCCCCGGAGATTGGTGGAAAGATGCACTTGAATTAAATGTATCGGCAAAACATGCGTTTTACCGTTCTGCCAGTCACCTTACAGTACAGTGGGTTGGAAGTAGATAAAATACACAATGAAACACGTGATTCACTAACCAGCCTCAAAAACAATGGGGTACAGGCATGCATCATCATCAAATGAAATCGGCCTCTTGTCAGTGCATTGAATTACGCAGTAAAATGTGGGGATATCCAATTGAGCTGCAGGTGTTCAATAATCACCAGACGAGCTCCCTCCCTGCTTTGACAAGGAACCATTGTCACCTGAACTCTGATACAAAGTTTTAAGCAGATTTGTCTTGTTTCTGTCAAAAAAAATACAGTTATTGATTTATCAATGCAGAAAATGTTTTTGGCAGCAATTATTGGAGAAAAAGTTGATTTTACAATGCAACAAAAACAATCCCATATATTCGGTGTTTAGCTTCAAATCTAGGTTTAAACAACACTCAATATTGAGTCCACTCAATATTCTGCTACTCAGAAAGTAGCAAAATATTTTAATGAAAATGTAATAACAGATATAAAATACAACTGTTTCTGACGAGTGCAATTAAATGTGGAAATGCAAAGACTAACTCTTATGAATATATGAATGATATAAAATCACATTTAAATATTATAGAAAGACAACAGTTATGTTGTCAAGGTAAGTTGGTTTTGAGGTGATTTAAGTAATCATGCCATCAATCTGAATGTTAACTCAAACAACTGTGTTTTACTCTTCACCCTGCATATGCAGTGCTTCATGGCGAGCATCCTCTAATTGTTTTAAACGTGACTAAAAGGTTTGGGTGTGCAGACTATATATATTTGTACGCAAGCTTCTAAACAAAGAATGGTTGTCATGCAATGAAAAATGTCAATGATGGTTTATATTCGATTTTAACAAGTTACAAAAGCGCTGTTAAAAATATATTTATTTTGTGTGATAAAACAATAACCTTCATACACATATTTCTAAATGATGAAGGATACGGTTTACAAGTTTTAACAAGGTTCACATAAGTCATAAACATTTCTCCCCAGCTGAATACTCATTAGCCAGAACACGACATTGTCAATATCATGTAATAAATATATGGATGACAATGTTAAAACCAACTATCAACACGTGTTTTAATAACTAAATGTTTATTTACTGTGCATAAAATGTGAATGTCGAATAAAAGGCCACAGTGCTTAATAAAATTTACAATTTACCTATTTGGCAATGTTTGTGTTAGTCTCGTACTCATGTGTTACTGTTAAGTATATGGCTGTTTCACATACCTTTG